AAATGAGTCAGAAAGAGGGGGACAGACATAGATGGACTGCACTCATTTGTGAAATATAAAGTAATATAAAATGAAACGGACACCCAAGGACAGGAGACACAAGGGCCAGGAAGATTGCCCCATAGTTGGCAGCCTGCCTCAGGAGCTGGGGGAGAAGGCAGCTGGGATAGAGAAGGGCTCACTAAGTCAATGATAGTTGGAGGAGTCGTTCAGGATGGGAGATGTGTGCTGAAAGTAGATAAAGGACCAAACGTGATAACCTCTCAGTGTCTGTATTGCAAGCCATAACGCTAAAAGTAGAGAGAGAATATGGGGGAAATTGTCTGCCATGGAGGCAGGGGGAGGAGTGGAAAGGGGGGATGTATACTGGGGTCATTGGTGGTGGAGAATGTGCACTGGTAGAGGGATGGGTGTTTGATTATTGTATGACTGAAACTCAGACATAAAAGCTTCGTAACTGTGTCTCATGGTGATTCAATAAAAAAAGGTAAAGGCCCTCCCGTTGATCGTCGATTTGCTCGAGCGGGCCCAGTAACGTCTCCATTGGAGACTTTGTTGTTACTGTGTCTGGCATATCGAATACTCTTGGTAGCTTGCCGGGCTCTCCGAGAGGGGCGGAGGAATCGAACTCGGGTCGGCCATGTTGGCCGCTTAATAAATAAATAAACGTAAGCTTCAGTTTCTAAAGCCGCAGCCCATGCAGACAGCAGCCACGGTTGTCACTGTTTTTGATGCTCAAAAAAATTCTATCTCGCCCCTCTTCTCTCCCTGACAAGCGGCCACGGGAAAGCTGAATTGAACTGAAACCGGAAGTGACCTCGTCAGCCACAGACACACAGAGTCACAGACTAATTCTTTATTTTTTTTCTTTTTGGGTCACACCTGGCATTGCACAGGGGTTACTCCTGGATCATGCACTCAGAAGTTACTCCTGGCAGTGCTCCGGGGACCATATGGGATGCTGAGAATCTACCCGGGTCCGCCGTGTGCAAGACAAATGCCCTACCCGCTGTGCTGTCGCTCCACCCCCAACCCAGTTATTCTTGTCGGGGACTTGTGGAATCACTCTTTGAGGTTCCTTTGTTCAGGTGAACCGTCACCCACCCATTTGGGATGGCCTGTCCCTCTGCCGATGACTGCCCACCCTCTGGCCGGTTCCGACCACACCTGGAATGTTCCTGGAGCAGAAAATCTGCCAACACGGGACAGCAGGGCCCCAGACAACCCAAGAAATTCACATGATTCAAAATCAGGAAGCAAGAAAGGAAATGGAAATGTTCACCATTCAATAGCACTGCGTACCAAGACAGCTGACTTGTTAACAGCAACTTGATAGATTACATGTGAATTTCCACCCACGCTGACATTTACAGAGATCCAATATGCAAAACCGGACACTTTCCCTACTTAGGGGCAACAGATAGAAAACGCAATTGAAAAATGTACTCTAAGTCATCAGCCACCCAGGAATAAATCTTCTGCAGAAATGTGTGTGACCTTTTATGGGGGGGATTGTAAGCCTTTACTGAAGGGCAAAAAGAAGAAATATGCCATGTTAATGGGCAGGAAGACGGAATGTTATCAAGATGTCAATCACCCCCGGATTCCTCTCTAAAGGGAACAGAATTCTCTGAGGAACGCTGACGTCGTTTGTTCTTTTGCTCTTGACAAGTTTATTCTCCAATTTATCGGAGAGAACAAAGGTCAGGGTTATCTCAAGCCATCTTGACACAGATGAAGCGTGGAGCGTTTGCCCTGCTGGGTACCCGGGTCTGCCCCAGAATGTGGGTCAACAAGGCAGAGTTGGTTAAACTGGCCCCGGAACAATGACTATAACGAAGGGCAGAGAAGCTAGGAATAGACTCAGTGCCCTGGAGAGCGGCCACGGGACCGCTCCCTCGGGAAGGGCAGAACATTTCGGGGGATGACGACAGTTAAGGCCAGAGGGCACAGCCCATCTCTCTCTCTATGCTGAATCCTTCCCAGGTTGGTGAGGAGTTAGCTGGGCATGTGGCTCGGGGCTGAGAGTGTGCTGTGTGTGAGTGAGTGAGACTGAGTCAGCTAGGAAGGAGGGAAGAGAGGAAGGAGGGAAGAGAGGAAGGAAGGAAGGAAGGAAGGAAGGAAGGAAGGAAGGAAGGACGGAAGGAAGGAAGGAGAGGAAGGAAGAAGGAGAGAAAGGAAGGAAGGGAGGGAGGGAGGAAGGAAGGGAGAGAGGGAGGGAGGGGGAAGGGAGGGAGAAAAAGAGTGATGGAGGGAGGTGGGAGGGAGAGAGGAAAGGAGGAAGGGAGAGCAGAAGGGAGGGAGGGAGGGGTGGAGGAAGGAAGGGAGGAAGGAAGAGGAGGGATGGAGGGAGGCGAGAGGGAGGGAGGAAAGAAGGGAGAGAAGAAGGGAGGGGGGGTGGAGGGAGGTTGGGTTTATCTCTGGCTCTACCTCAGTTTCTCTGCCAGGCGTCCGCTCGCATCAGACACCTGCCTCAACTCTACTTGAGGGACATGCGTCTGTTCTTGCGAGGCTTCGCAGTGAGTCTCCCGGGGCCCACAGCAGGGTCACGGGGGGTCAGGCACAGGCCCCCTTCTCCCCGCCACCCGCAGCCGCCTCTGAAGGCTTCACTTGCGTTAACTTGGGGGTGTGAGCTGGGTGCCTCACGGTGGCCCTGAAGCCTGTTCCCTTGCAGGGATGCTGCGTGTACTGGCTTGTCTTTGGGGGCCTCTGTGTCTCTTGGTTTTGCTGTAGGGTCACACAAATCACTGGGGGGGCTCAGAGATCACTCCTCATGGGGCTCAAAGGACCATATGGGGTGCCAGGAATTGAACCCGAGTCAGCCGCAGGCAAGGCAAGAGTCTTGCCTGCTGGAGATCTCTCCAGACCACCTCCTCCAGTTCCAGTTGCTCCTAAAGCTTCTGAAGTTTGACACTTGATCACTAAGAACTTTGCTTTATCCCTTTCCTCCCTCCCTCCCTCCCTCCCTCCCTCCCTCCCTCCCTTCTTTCCTTTTTTTTCCCACTTTTTCTTTCTTTTTGGGTCACACTAGCGATGCTCAGAGTTCCTCCTGGCTCTGCACTCAGGAATCACTCCTGGCAGTGCTTGGGGGACCATATGGGATGCCGGGAATCGAATCCAGGTTGACTGTGTGCAAGGCAAACGCCCCCCCCCCACAGTGCTATCGCTCCGGCCCCCCTCCTTTCCTTTTTCCTCTCTTCCTCCCTCCCTTCTGTCCTTCCTCCCTCCTCTCCCCTCTCTTTCCTTGCTTGCTTTCCTTCTCCTTCCTTCCATTGTCCTTCCTTCCAACTTCCTTTTCTTCTATCCTTCCTTCTCCTTCCTTCCATCTTTCCATTCTTCCATCCTTCCTTCTAATCCAGTAGAACCCCAGGAACTGGAGCGATAGCACAGCGGGGAGGGTGTTTGCCTTGCATGCCGCTGACCTGAGTTCAATCCCCGGCATCCCATAGGGTCCCCTGAGCACCGCCAGGAGTGATTCCTGAGCGCAGAGCCAGGAGGAACCCCTGTGCATCACAGGGTGTGACCCCCCTCAAAAAAAACCCAAACTAGCAGAACCCACAATCTCACTCACACACAGCACGCTCTTAGCCCTGAGCCACATGCCCAGTTAAATCCTTTACAAACCCAGAGAGGATTCAGCGTATGGTGAGAGATGGCCTTCCACTGCTGTGCACTGTGACTTTAGTGCCCCCGTCCCCTGAAGCGGTCACCCTTCCGCAGTCTGCGACCATGGCCTCTGTGATCTCTCGACGTGTGCCCAGGGGCCTTGTGCTTCTGTGACTCAGTGGCCAGGCGGAGAGGGATTCATCAAGACAGGGCTGAATGAATAACCCCATCTGATGGAGAGTGAGTCCGCGTGCCCACCCAGCCAGGCTGGTCCCAGCGAGAGGCGTGATGGGGCGGGTGCGGTTCGGGGAGGGGCCAAACAGGTGAACTTGAAGCCCATGAGAGTGGGGGACGCACAGCCCGTGGTCTGCCCCCGCCCCCTCCCCAGCAGCTGAGGGGCAGAAAGGACCAGGCTGCCGGCCGCAAACTCCTGGCCCCACACGCCACCCTCGGTCCCGCCTCACCCGGCCTCACGCTCGTCACTTCCTGCCTGTTTGCTTCTCAAAGCCGCTAACCTCCCTTCCGTATCACCTTGTTCCCTCCTCCCCCACCCTCCCCAACTTGGGGCCCCCAAGTCTGCCTGCACCCCTCAACCCCTCACAGCCCTTTCCAAGGGCCAGCTCCAACACCAGCCGCAGACTCGGCTCCCCCTCTGGGGGCTCGGGGGTCCCTACTAGGAGTCACCCCCCCTCAGGCCCCCTCCCTGCCCTCTTAAAGGACACCCAGGACAGGCCCTGTCCTCCCAGAACCCGCTGCCTCTCGGCCATTCCTGACTGGCCATCCCTGAGACCGTGCCAAGCGTGCAGTGGGCACTGGGTGTAAACCATAGGTGCTGAATAGTGGGCACTGAGTATACAATAGGTGCTGGGTATGCATTAAGTGCTGGGTATACAGGGGTGCTGGTATACTGTGGGTGCTGGGTGTTCAATGAGCACTGGGTATACAGCAAGTGCTGGGTATTCAGTAGGCATTGGGTACGGTGGGCACTGAGTATACAGCAGGCACTGGGTATACAGTGAGTGTTGGGTATACAGTAGGCATTGGATACAGAGGGTGCTGGTAACAGTGGGCGCTGGGTGTTCAATGAGCCCTGGGTATACAGCAAGTGCTGGGTATACAGTAGGCATTGGGTTCAGTGGGCGCTGGGTATACAGTAGGCGCTCACGCAATGCTTGTTGCTTTGGAGGGAGGGGACTGCAATTTCATGAAGCCCAAGGGAAGGACATAGCTATCCTGGGGGGGTCCTGCTGGTGCCCCCGAGCAGCAGTTCTGGTGCCAGAGACGGGGGCTGCAGCCGGGGCCCCGCGGGGCACCTGAGGCCCCCTGCGCAGTCCCACCTGACCGCAGGCCCCGCCCTCTGCAAACAGCGGCTCGGGGCAAGTTCCCCTTCCGCTTCCTCCGCTCCTCCGGGCGCCCGTCCAGGCTCTCCGCACCGGCACCCGCAGAGACGCCCCCAGCCCCGACTCAATGCAGGCCATCAAGTGTGTGGTGGTGGGCGATGGGTGAGTGACGCTGCTGCCCCCCCGCGGGGCCTCCCAGAGACCCCCCAGAATCCCCGAGGAAGATGGGGGTCCCGGGGAGGCTCCTCTGGTGGTCCCAGGGAGCCCCCAGCTAGACGGAGGGGACCGGCACCCTCTCGGCTTCCCCTCTCCCAACCCCAGAAGCTGCCTCTGGAAAGGGGGTGCAGGGAGGAGGCTGGGGCTGGCCGGGGCCCCGTGCCTGCACCCCGAAAGCTGCAGCCGGTCTCCCCTGGGACCTTAATTTTCAACCCTGCAGCTACTGGTGGGGAAGGGGGCCCGGGGCCCCGGCCTTGTCCCCGGCTTGCCTGGCCTTGGAAATGTCGCCTCAGCTGGGCCCCTGGCAGATGAGGAGCCACTGGGGGTGTCCGGAGCCCTGGTGCCCCAGTAGTGCCAGCATTCCGGGTGCCATCCCTCAGCCTCTGGGAGGGGGCAGGAGAGGGACCTCCAGGGAGGGAGGGGGGGATGGGCAGATGAAGTGGGTCAGTTTGGGGCAGCTGGGCTGAGGGGGTCTTCCCCGGCATCAGGATCTCAGCTTCTCATACCCCCCCCCCGCCCATGTGGGCCTCAGTTTCTCCATCTGTCAAGGGAAGAATGGGGGGGCTAGATCTCTGGCTAGACAAAGTCGACATGCATGGGGTCCAGCCCGAGAGCCACCCTGCTCACCCACCCGCACCGTCCCCGGCCGGGCTCTGTCCAGCCTCACACAGGCGACACGGGACACCGGGATCTTTCCCGCCTGCCGGTGGCTCAGAGGCTCTGGGCGGGGCGGCTGGCTGGCCGGTGGATCTTGGCCCTCAGCTGATCCTGAGGCCCATTCTAATCTGCTCGCCCGTCCCGCACTTCTGCTTTGCCTCTGATGGGGGGAAGGGGAGGCGGAAGCCAAGGGCAGCATCTTTGTCCCCGCTCTTGAAGTCACCTTGGTGGCAGTCTCTGGGGAGGCCTCCTGGGACCGGATAGGAAGTGACAAAACCCAGCGCGAAGGGGAAGGCCCCGGCCTGCCCCAGGGGCCACTGCTTCCCCCCACACATGCCCAGGACCCTCCCAGGCCAGCAGGCTGAGGGGGAGGCTGGAACTTTCTACTAAGCGCCTACTGTGAGCTGGGCACCCTCTGCCTCATGGTTCCATGAACCCCGATGAGAAGCCCATTCTACAGATGAAAAAAATGGAAACTCAATCATATGCCAGACCTCCTCAATTCGAACCCAGGTCTCTAGGCCCCCAGTTCTACTGGATGCAAGACTCAGGGCTCTATCTAGGGGCTCCTTCTGAGGCGTTTCTCTGCATAGTCCCGAGTGCTGTTTTCAAAATGGGGAAACTGAGGCATGGGCCACACAGGACTCGCCAAGGATTTTGCCACTGGGAGGTGGAGGATCTGGGAGGTGAAGCTCACGCATAAGTTGGTCGAGCCCTGGCCGGGGGCATTCAGCAGTTCAGAGGGTCTCCTGGGCACCACCTGCTTTTAAAGCATTTTTTTTTTTTTGCTTTTTGGGTCACACCTGGCGATGCACAGGGGTTACTCCTGGCTCTGCACTCAGGAGTTACTCCTGGCGGTGCTCGGGAGACCATATGGGATGCTGGGAATCAAACCTGGGTTGGCCGCGTGCAAGGCAAACGCCCTACCCACTGTGCTGTCTCTACAGCCCCTTAAAGCATTTTTTAAAAAGGCTGGATAGTGACATCAAGGTGGATTTCATGACAGCTCACACAGCAGCATCTGTGCAAACAACATTACGTGTTCACCTCAACCTACTTTCTTTCCTTCGCCTTCGTATGCTCCCCTTTGATCTAAGTTACCACCCTCCCCTTTTTCTTTTTTTTTCCTTTGGGTGACTCTATTATTCTGAGAGTCTAAGAGTTTGTTTTTGTATGTTTACGGGTGTTTTTCTCTGCCTCAAAGGAGTGGAATGATGGGTGTCTATCTTTTCTGTTTTTTTTTTTTTTTTCTGATTTCCCTCACTGCGGGGCACCACACCCTGGTCTGTCCCGGTTGTTGCAAATGGCAAGACTTTGCCTTTTCTTAGAACACCCCATTGTGAACCCACTGCATCTTCTCGGGGTGTCTCCAGCCCTCAGCTCTCGTGACGATCCTGTGTCAAATCCAGGCATGCTGGGTCTTTTTCATCCCGTGCTTTCAGATCCTTCAGATAAAGACCCAGAGTCAGTAGCTGAGCCGCACGGAATTCCACAAACGTTCTGAGACAGGATGGCTACACCAACAACACTGACTTCCGGTCATTTTTTGTTTGGGTTGAAATGCTCAGGGGGTTACTTCTGGTCCGTAACTGAAGGGACCATGCTGGACAGTATTTGGGGTCCCAGAAGATGCTGGGAGCAGATTTCATGCTCCCCCATGCAAGACCTGTGCTCAGCCCTTTGAACCACCTCCCTGGGGTCTCCTAGTCTTTTTTTTTAGGGGGCCCCACACCTGGAGGTGGTCAGGGCTTACTCCTGGTGAGGCTCAGGGGACTATATGGGGTGCCAGGGATAGAACCCCGCTTGGTCCTACTCCTGTTACCGTCCCTCCGGCTTCTTCATAGCTGAAGTCATTCCCACAGTCGTGGGGGCGTGTGCGGGTGCTTTGATTTTCACCCCCTACTGGTACGATGGTGAGCATCTCTTCATGAGCCTTTTGGCCCCTAGGGGTCTCCTCCGGAGCCAGGTCTATGCAGACCCTCCTCCCACTCTTGATGGGGTCCCTGCTCTCAACCCTCACCCCTGCCTCAGGCCACCTGTCAGAGTTGGTTCAAAATCGTTTTCCTCTGCTGAGATCTTGGTTCCGCAACCCTGGCAACACAGACGGTCCTGGAAGACGGCCAGGGGTCACTCCCGAGCACAGAGCTAGGAGGAAAGCGCTGAGCGCCACTGGGCGCGACCCATTTCCCCCAGCCCTCACCCCAAAATGCAGATTCCCAGTTGAGAATTTGTCCAAACTCATGCATCAGAATTTCCCAAGTCTTGGTGTCAGATGAGTCAGGTGGGGAGCACTGGGCGAGACAGAGCCTGGAGTCTTCCCTGAGGCTGGGCCGGAGGAGTGAACGGGTGTCCAGAGTGCCTGCGGAGCACCCCCCAAGCTGGCCGCGACCCTGACCACCGTCTCTCCCCCTTCTTATGTTTCAGAGCCGTGGGCAAGACCTGCCTCCTCATCAGTTACACCACCAATGCCTTCCCGGGCGAGTACATCCCCACCGTGTGAGTCCCGTGGGGCCAGGGCACCCACCGTCGGGTCCCCACCCAATCTAGTAGAGGTTGGGTGGAGCAGGGAGCCTGCTGGGGGGAGAGGGGCGGGGAGGGACATGTGGGCGCCAGGACGCACGCGCAGGTGCTGGGGTGGGGCGGGACCATCGTGAGGCCCCGCCTTCTTATTGGATGCTGAGGCCCCGCCTTCTAATTGGACGCTGAGGCCCCGCCTTCTAATTGGACGCTGAGGCCCCGCCTTCTTATTAGACGCTGAGGCCCCGCCTTCTTATTGGATGCTGAGGCCCCGCCTTCTAATTGGACGCTGAGGCCCCGCCTTCTTATTGGACTCTGAGGCCCCGCCTTCTTATTGGACGCTGAGGCCCCGCCTTCTTGTTGGACGCTGAGGCCCCGCCTTCTTATTGGACGCTGAGGCCCCGCCTTTTTGTTGGACGCTGAGGCCCCGCCTTCTAATTGGACGCTGAGGCCCCGCCTTCTTATTGGACGCTGACGCTGAGGCCCCGCCTTTTTATTGCACGTCTAACGCTGTGCTGAGCGTCCGGGCTGTACACTAGCAGGAAGACACTGGCTTCATGCCCTAGTCACTGAGGACACCTGCCCGCCCAGCATTCAAGGCTTGGGCATCTGTCCCTGCCCCGCTGCACTTTCCAAATACTTCCTGGGTGTCTCCACTGCCCCTCTGGGGTCTCCTCTGTTCCCCTGGGCGTCTCCTCTGTCCCCCTGGGCGTCTCCTCTGCCCCCCTGGGTATCTACTCTGCCTCCACCGTTTTTCCTTCCCACACCCGTGGTCCGAGACTTCAGGCTCAGGTCTGCGCCTCCTCCTCCAGGAAGCTTTCCGGATCTGGTCTGAAATGAGGGGGGTCTCCCTCTGCCCCGCCCCTGCCTCCTTCATGGTCCTATTGGACCTTGCCCGGGACTGCTCCTTTGTGGGGTTCCCCGCATCACAGCACAGCGCCAGCACACTCCACCCCCATCTCATCCCGAGAGGCCCTGGCCGCGTGGCGTGGGGGTTTCTGGGCGCTTGGACTCATTTGTTCTTCCCCGAGAACGGTATGTTCAGGGGGCCCTGTGGGAAGCCGAGACTCAGAGCAGCAAAGGGCACCCCGGCATCAAGACTTGGGCCCCCCACGAGTATTTCTCCCAGGACACTGACGGAGCTCCAGGGGTTAGGGGGCGCCCAGAGGCGAGAGGAACCCAGCTAAAGAGCAGGACGCCAGTGGGGGTGGGGGGTGTTCCTGCCTCTGTGTTCAGGAGTGACCCCTGGCAGTGCTCAGGGGACCACACAGGCCGGGCAATGCGCAGGGAAAGTGGTCCAGGGCAGAGCTGGGCGTCTCTGCTAGTGCTGTGTGGCCCTGGGCCGGTCGCTCTCCCTCTCTGGTTCTCACGGTCTCGTCCATAGCCTTCGGCGCCTGCTCCTTCCCTCAGGGGGATGGAGGGTGAGAAATGTTGGGCAGAAGGAAGGGCCAGGGTGGGTGCTTGTCTGGGTGCCAGGGGCCTGGCGAGAGCCAGGAGCACCCACGCTGCGCCGCCTGCCCGTAATGGGGCGTTTCTCAGTCCTCTGGGCGGCCAGAGCGGGCGCCAGGCCTCTGCCCGCAGAAGTCAGATGTGGTGGATAAACACCCCTGCTCCCCGCCTCCGTGCAGTCCTCCGTGCGGCTTAGCAACCCGGGCCAGTCTCCAGCTTTAGAGGCCACGGGGCCTCCACCAGCTGCTGCCCCTGCCCCCTCCCCCCAGGCAACCAGGGGTCCCTTCCCACCTCAGCCCTGCTACCTCCCAGGAGCACCCTTTGACCTTTTGAGCCATGTGACCTGTCCCAGGGAATATCACGCAGCCTTGAAAACGCAGGGAGTACCCCCCCCCCAAATAAATACTCTAAAGTGAGGAGTGGGGCTGGAGGGGGGCGCATGGGACTTCGACTCTGTCCCTGGCACTACACGCCCCGCTGAGGACATGGGGTGTGGCCACAGACCCTGAGTGTGCCTGGGGGTCCCTGCCCCATCCTCGGGCACAGCTTCCGGCGCAGGCGCAGAGCCGTCAGTTCTGGTTGGCTGAGATGCTCCGGGAGTGAATTCTGGGCCCCGGAGTACCTCCTGGGAGCACCTCCTGGGAGCACCCTCCTAAAAAGAAAGTTGGTATCGGTGGCTGTGATAGAGAGAGAGAAGAAAACTGGGAATGGGGAGAGAGAGTGGGGTGGGGAGGACAGTCCCTGATCCCCGGAGCCCCACCAGGAGCGAGCCCTGAGCACAGAGCCAGAATGACTTCCGAGCACAGAGCCGGGCACGGCCCCAAAGTCACAACAAAGCGTGATGGCAAGATGCCTTGTGTGTGAGGCCACTGCTGCCCTTCTCTGGGCTGAGCAGGGGGATGGTGGACCCGGGCTGGGGGACTGTGGGCCGAGGGCCGGAGCTCAGCCCGCTTTCCTGCCCCTGCAGGTTCGACAACTATTCGGCCAATGTGATGGTGGACAGCAAACCGGTGAACCTGGGCCTGTGGGACACGGCCGGGCAGGAGGATTATGACCGGCTGCGGCCACTCTCCTACCCGCAGACGGTGCGCCCTGCCCCGTGGGCCCTGCGGGGTGCCCGGGGGGGGCCTGGGTGGGTGGGACCGTGCTGGCCACAGGAGCTGCAGGCTGGGGACCCCTTGGCGGGGCGGTGGGTGGTGAGGGGAGCCCTGAGGCTCTGCGCCCACTTTCCCCTCTGTCCTGGGGCACTTCCGGGGCTCCCTGCCCTGCCTCAGGCTCACTGCTTGGTGCTGGGGGTGACAGGACCCCTGGGGCGGCCTGGTGTGACCCCTGCCTGCTCTGCTCCCAGGATGTCTTCCTCATCTGCTTCTCACTGGTCAGTCCTGCCTCCTACGAGAACGTCCGGGCCAAGGTGAGCAGCATGTGGGGGGGTGGGTGGGGGGGTGGGGAGGGGAGGGGGCGTGAGGGGCGTGAGGGCTGCAGACCAGGTGGGCAGAGGGAGGGTCTGCAGTGCCCCCCAGGGCTGGAGGCCTGGGTGGGAGATCAGGAGAGCTCTTTTTTTGGGGGGGTCACCCCTGGCGATGCTCAGGGGTTCCTCCTGGCTCTGCACTCAGGAATCACTCCTGGCTCGGGGGGCCCTATGGGATGCTGGGAATCGAACCTGGGTCGGCCGCATGTAAGGCCAATGCCCTCCCCGCTGTGCTATCACTGCAGCCCCCGGGAGAGATCTTGGGGGACCCGGTGGCTGGCCTGACTCTCACCCTCTCTCCCCTGCACAACCTCACGCGGCCTCCCAATCGACACGCACCATCTCACTTCCTCTGCCCGAAACCACCCCCCCTCCTTCCTGCACAACCTCGTGCCTCCTGCCCGAACAACCTCATGACCCCCCTCAGGCACCCCCACTCCGGGACCCCCTCTCACTGGGTGCTCCCCCGTCTCCCTTCTTATGCACCCCAACTTCCCGCACAACCTCACACTGACCCCGCCCCTTCCCTCCCCCTGCCAGTGGTTCCCCGAGGTGAGACACCACTGCCCCAGTACGCCCATCATCCTGGTGGGCACCAAGCTGGACCTCCGGGACGACAAGGACACCATCGAGAAGCTGAAGGAGAAGAAGCTGAGTCCCATCACCTACCCGCAGGGCCTGGCGCTGGCCAAGGAGATTGGTAAGGGGTGGGGGGCTCAGGGCAGCTGCATTGGGGGGGCAGGCGGGGCCCCGACTCAGCCCCGGGTGAGGGCAGACACGGGCCCCAGGGCCAGCCTGTACTGCAGCGCACTCGCTGTGTGATCCTGGGCCAGCGACTCAGCCTCTCGTGTGCCTGTGTCCCTCATCATCCGGGCACGACAGTGGCAGCAGAATGGGGTGAATGGGGCCACCCCGCAGCTCCTAGCATGGTCTTGAATCCAGGGAAAGTGCTCTGTGCTCACTGCGATCAGCCACTGTCTCCTGCGTGGGAGAGCACCAGCAGCTAGCCAAGCCCGGGGTTTTCAGGAAGGCTTCCTGGAGGAGGTGTTTCTGCCTTGGGTCTGAAGCGGGGAGGTCCTTCCCTGCTGTCTCCTCAGACCGACCCCTGAGCTCCGAGGAGTGGAGTGAGGGGGACCAGGTGTCCACAGGCTGCCCCAACCCTGGGGGTCCTGCCAGCCTGCAAGGGGCATAGGGGTGACACTGGGCCTCGCCCCTGGCCTCCAGGCCTGCTCTCCCTGCCTCCCTGCCGACCCCGGATGGGGACCCCCTGGGCCGGGTCCTGTGAGCTTCCCAGAGTCCCGCCCCAGGCAGGGGCCCCAGCCCGGCCCGACCCCCTTCCTGCCACCGGAAGTGGGCGGGTGAACCGCCCCTCGCAGGAAGAGAAACCGCAGCCACCTCCCTCCTTCCTGTCGCCACCGGCCAAGGGGCCATGTTGCCGGGCCTGTCCCTGCCCCGAGCTCATGGGGGTCCTTCCTCTGCCTGGGACCCACCCAGCCGGTCCCCCGAGCCCCTTCCACCCCGAGGGCCTCCCCAGTTGGCCCCTGGCCCTTTATTTAATTAATTCATTAATTAATTTGCTTTTTGGGTCACACCCGGCGATGCTCAGGGGTTCCTCCTGGCTCTGCACTGGGGGATCTCTCCAGGGGAGGGGGGGACTTGGGGTTTCAGGGCTGTACCCGGGTCAACTGTGTGCAAGGGGAGAGCCATGACCGCTGTGCCGTCTCTCTGGCCCTCTCTGGGCTATTGGAAGTACCTGGGTTGGCACCTTGAAGATCCGATGAGCTTCTCCAGGAGGGCCCCAGGCCGGGAGACAGTGCAGGGGTCAAGGCGCTTGCCTTGTGCGCAGCCAACACCGGTTGCATTCCCGGGCCCCCCTCGAGTCCCCTGAACCTCGCCACGAGTGATCCCTGAGCACAGAGCCAGGAGTCAGGCCCGGGCCCCACCGGGCACGACCCCAGAACAGTGGCAACAGAACAAAGGCAAGAAGGGGCTCAGGTCCCCTCCCCCTCCTTCCTCTTGTTCCTGAAGCCGGCCCCTCCCTCTCGCCCCTCACACAGGCCCCGATGTCCCCTCACTTGGGGGGGCAGCGTGGAGCCCAGGACAGAGGGGTCAGCCCGTCTCACCCACACCCTGGGCTGCAGACCCCCACCCCTGAGTGGTGGTGTGGGAGAAGGCTGGGCCCCTCGCAGGGAAAGGATGACCCCCTAATTTCCGCCCCACTCGCTGAGCCCTCAGCCCCACCCCTCCCCAGTCCCTCCTGTGCCTTGGGATAAGCATGGCCTCGATGACCCTACGTCTCATCCGTGAAATGGGGCCAGGCTGAGGAATGGGTGGTGACGTCTAGAAGGTGCTGGGGTCTGCCCCCCTCCCCGAGGGCCCCTAGGGTCCCTGGCATCTTGGGAGACGTGGAGGGAAACTGAGGCACAGAGGCTGCGGAACACGCCCTGGGGGACTGGACCCCGGGGCAGGTGCAGGGTGAGGCTGGGGAGCGGCGGAGCCCAGGCCTGCCGTGCCCCACTCCCGCGTGTCCCTTCGCCTAGACTCCGTGAAGTACCTGGAGTGCTCCGCACTCACCCAGCGGGGCCTGAAGACGGTCTTCGACGAGGCCATCCGGGCCGTGCTGTGCCCGCAGCCCACCCGGCAGCAGAAGCGCGCCTGCAGCCTCCTGTAGGGTAGGAGCCTGCCGCGGTCGCACAGCCCTGCGGTCCCTGGGTGTGAGCTCAGGGCTGGCCGGGAGGGGGGCGCGCGCGGCGCTGCTGTTCCTGGGCGCATGCTCAGGGCTGACCGCCAGGGGGCGCGCGTGGTGCTGCTATCCCTGGGCTCATGCTCAAGGCTGGCCGCCAGGGGGCGCGCGCGTGGCGCTGCTGTCCCTGGGCGTGAGCTCAGGGCTGGCCGGGAGGGGGGTGCGCGGTGCTGCTGTCCCTGGGCCGAGCTCAGGACTGGCCGCCAGGGGGCGCTGCGGGGGTCTGGCACAGAGCAGCTGCTGCGGGGGGGGGGGTGCGCTGCGGGGGGCAGGAGGCAGGGGCAGCGGGAATGCCCGGCTGGGAGGGGCCACAGGGAGCTGGGACCCCGAGGAGGAGAACCGTGAGGAGCGGGGGCCGTCTTCCCCCCCCCTCCCCCGTGACCAGGTCAGGGAGGACCTGATGGGATGGAAGGAGCTGGAAGGGGGGAACGTGGAGATTGGGGGGCAGCGGGGACTCTCGGGGACCCCGTGTCTCACCCCCGCCTGTCTTCCCTCAGGGTGCAGCCGCCCTCCCAGCCTGATCATTGCACCCCCCACCCCTCCCCAGAGCCTGATGGTGGAGTTTGGCTGATGATGCCCGGACCGGAAGGGTGTGGATTTGTAGGCGCTGCATCCTGATCCCTCATGCTCCTGCCTTGCCAGGGCCCAGCGGGGACCCCTCAGGACCCCGCCTGGCCACCCCCGCATTGCTGCGGCCAGAGCCGGCTGCTGTATCCACCTGTCCCCTCCACTCGCACCCAATGCCTGAACCTTCCACCCCGCCCCCCACACACACTTCTGATCATCTCAGTAGAGTGTCTCCAGCGCCTGTTCTCCAAGCCCCTGAAGGCGACCACAGAACACAGACCCACCCCTCTGAGTCTCGGGGAGCAAATGCCCAGGGGTTCCAAGCCTGGGTCCCGCTAACTCCTGCCCTCACCAAGTCTTTCTGCGCAACTCCCACCCGGGACCCCGAACACAAGGATCTGCGAGCAGCTTCGAACTTTCCGAGCCTCCCAGCCACGACTTGAGCTGCTGCGAAAGGAAATGATCTGCTTCAGCAGAAAATAAACGTGTTGTTTCAAGTGTGGAAATAGCATTTCTTCAGGTGCGGCTTGATCAAGGGGCGGAGCGGACGTCCTCCCATCCCTCCCTGGACCCCTGCGCTCTTCCTTCCGCTGTCTGGCCCAGTCTCGGTGACTGTCAAGGCTTTCTCCTCCGAGGGGACGAAAAATAGGGGTGAACTAGTAGGGACGAAGAGATAGGACGCAGGTGACGGGCACTGCAGCATGTGGGCTAAGGCATTTGCCTGACACGTGGCCAACCTCGGTTTAATTCCTGGCACCACGTGACTCTGGAGCGCCACCCAGAGTGAGTCCTGAGCACAGATCCAGGAGCAGCCCCTGAGCACTGCAGGGTGTGGTCCAGATCCCTGATGCTGAGTCCTCCATGAGCCAAGTGCTCTCTGGCAGGCCTGAGCTGCAGGGACAGGCCACACCCCATCCTTAGCCCCGCTGGGTGCCCAGTGGCCAATGGGCCTGCCACGGGGCTTTTGCCACACGCCAGGGAAGTGCCCATGGAGGGCAGAGATTGGGGGCTCAGGGTTGCCAGGGGAGGGGCGGTGAGGGGGCCACTGCCTCCCCTTGGCTGCAAAGTCGCCGCGAGAGAGAAATATGCAGACGCTCGCCAGAGACAGTGGGGCCACCCTTGCCCCGAGCCAGGCTCCGTCCAGAAGCAGATGGCGGGTGGTAAATGATTCAACACAGCCCGGAGAGGCCAAGCTAAGTGTCCTCTGAGCTGGCGGGCGGGAGAGACGCAGAACAACGGCCTTGGCGAGCCCCAAGGGGAACCCCAAGTGCTGGACCCAAACTCCGGATGGCGAGGCAGGAGGCTGCAACATTGGGGAGCAGGCCCTCCCCCCTCCCCCCTGCCCTCCCAGGCCCTCACCCAGAAGAGTCATCCCTGGACTTTGGAGCACACAAAGGGACACGCCCCCCCACCCCCGACCCAGACCATGTGACTCGCCGTGGGCCAATGGGATGCGCACAGTCCCAGGAGGGTTTGGGTTGGGCCTGGCACCTTGGCACAATGTCCTGTGCCAACTGAAGAAGGTGCCCCTGGCAGGGCTCCTGGTTCCAAAGGTGGAAGGGCAACACGGGGCAGAGGCCTATGCGGCAGTTTGACGTGCGGATGCCAGGCGTGTACCACCAGTGGATCACACAGGCCGTCAGCGGAGAGTGTCCACGGAGGTGTGCGTCCACAGAACGAGAGAGTGAACCAGGGGAAGGAAGGACAGGGTTCAAGAAACCGGGTCCACAGCAGGAAGAAGGGAAGGGTGGGGAGCTGGGAACTCAGGCATTCACTGGGCAAGGCAGACCCCAAAGAGGAGTTTGGTGGGGTCTCTAAGAAAAAAAATGAACGATCAAATTGCGTTGCAGAGTTTATTTTGCCCCATTTTGCTGCATTTTTGTGGCCACACCCAGCAGTTCTCAGGGCTGACTCCTGCCTCTGTGCTCGGGGCTGACTCCTGGCAGTGCGCAGGGCTCCGGATGCAGTGCCAAGGATCGGGTCTGGGTCCGCGTGTTCAGGACAAGCGCCTCCGCCCCCGGACTCTCTCCCCAGCCTTCCACCACGAGTTTTTTTTTTAGCTATAGGAGTGTATGAAAAAAATGAAGATTTAAAAAAAAAACAACCAAAGTCAAATAGACGAAAAAAATGAGGCAATTATTAACTCCCAGCTGAGCAGGAAATTATATTTACACTGTATTAATAATAGAAACACTGAATATGCGTTTAGTAGGAAATTATGTTACTTTGAGAGGACAGGGGAGAGGTACCAAAAAATGGGTAAGAAATCTAAAATCCAGGGCCTGGGGGATAGCTGAGGGGTCAAGTCTCCTGTCTTGCTGCCAGGCTCGTTCGTTCTGTCATCACACAGCTCCCAAGCCCCCTTGGAGGTAGCCCCAGAAGCCCCTGACCACTGCTGGGGTGACTGGGGTCACCCACATACTGCAGGGCCCCGAATAACCAATGCGATGCATGGAGTCCCTCACTCACCCCGCAAGAAGGAGCCTAAAATCTCCCCCTATCATCAGAAGCTTGGGGATGGTGGGGAAAATTGGGTTGTAGAGAGATTTGAAAACAGAGACTTCGGGGTCAGAGCGATAGTCCAGCAGGGAGGGCGTTTGCCTTGTACCCGACATCCCATAGGGTCCCCTGAGCACCGCCAGGAGTGATTCCTGAGTGCAGAGCCAGGAGGAAGCCCTGAGCATCGCCAGGTGTGGCCCCCAAACAAACAACCCCCCCTCCTGAGACCTTAATACGTAGCAAGAGGGAGAGAAACCACCGAGCGACCAAGCCACAGGCTTCTGGGGCCAGGGCTCGCTCAGGGCCATGGAGGATGCTGTCTTTTGCAGAAAAAAAAAATCTTCGCTCTGGGTTGTTAATATTTTATACTTTATTAAAAAGAAAAGCAGATGACGAGTAGTCGCATCAGAGATTAAAAGGTGCCCCAGAGGAGGAGCTGGCTGCCAGCTCCCACTGCGGCCGGCTCTGATCCTGGAAAGGACGGGGCATTGCAGGGAGTCGCAGGTGCAAAGGGCCTGGGGCCAGTGTGTGGTTCCCGGCTGAAGTTCGTGGTGCTTTAGAAAGAGAGGAGTGAGGGGCCAGAGAGTAGGGCAAGCAGCTGACCTGGGTTCACTTCCTGGCACCCCATAGGGTCCCTCAAACACCACCAGGACTAACCCCTGAGCACTGCCGGGTGTGGCCCCCCAAAACCAAACCAACCACATAGTAAATAAATGGAAAATAAAAGAAGGAGAGGGGGAAGGGGCTGCCCCGGCTAGCAGCTGTGGATTTCACAGTCTGCAGTGAGTGGGAGGTGGGGCTCCCCAGGGGAAAGGCGGCTGGGATTTTAGGGGACAGGGGCCTTGGGCCACCCCGCGGTGCGCAGGGCTTCTCTGGCAGGGCTTGGGGGCCCTTGGCGGCGACCCGCCTCAGCTGTCTAGCAGATTTGTTCTCCCTGCTCTGTTGGGGACAAAGAGCCCAGCCCTGTGGGGGGGGGGTCCCAGGAGGACCCACAGGGGACAGACCCTGAGCGGGGAGTGTGAGTTGGGTGAAGAGAGGAGTCTGGGGTGGAAGGGAGAAGCCTTGATTTGGGGTGGGGGGTGGCGCCGGGCCAAGCCCCCAGGCGTTTCCTTTTTTCACCCTTCAAAGAATTCCCCAGGCCATACGGGGAGTGGGGGACAGACGCCCCCAGGGCAGGGGAGCAGGGTAGTTTTGTGGGGTGACTGGGGCACAGCTGGGGCTGACTCCCCCCGAATGAGGACGGGAATGAGGACAGTGGGGGACCAGGCTCCCAGCTGGCCTCTGGGTGTCCTGGGAACGGCCATCGGTAGGTGGGGAAGCAGAGGCTGCGGCTCAGAGAGGTCAAGCTATATACTCAGGGTCACACAGCCAGTCGAGCAAGGCCGAGGGTCTACATCAATCGACTTGGCGGACTTTTTGGTTCCTTGCTGAGGACACTGCACCTGGCCCTGCTCTGGGGGGGCTTGGGTCTGGGCCTCTGGGGGCCAGGACTAGGGGATGGTGCCCAGGGTCGATGCCCAGGGCCACAGAGTCTGATGGCGGAGGGACAGGTGTGGTCTTGGGGTCCAGGCGTGAAGGAGATGCTGCAGACCCCCCTTGGGGGAAGCCGCTGCTCTCAGGGACGCTGTCTGCTTCTGAGCACCCCCAGGTGTAAACAGGGCGCAGGACGGACAGAGAGACAGCTGACCGTAGACCACTGGCGAAACTAGGGCAGCCCAGGGAGCAACGGGGCGCGTCTGAGGGTTCGCATTCAGCATGGGCGTGAACCGCCCCTTCCTGCTCCATCTGCAGAAGAAACTGAGGCTGAGAGAGGAAACTCAGACCCCTGTCCTGGGGCTGTCCAGGCGGGGAGCAGCGTAAGAGGGACACCCAGAAGGAGCGCCTTAGACCCGGGGGTGCTCAGGGGTCCCGGGACACCCCCGGTCCCCCACCCCCGGGGGCTGGATGAGGCAGAGAACGGGCATGAATATTGGCTGCCGAGGCAGGAAATAACGAACTTAGCAAAACTAAGTTGCCTGCCCGAGAAACGAAAAGGAGAAGCCACCACCGCCGCCGGTCTTAGGAAAACGGCTGGCGCCAGCCCCGCACTGGGTCCAGCCAGGGGACTGTCCCCCCCCGCCCCCCCCACCCCCCCACCCCCCGCCGCCTCGGGCTTCCGCTTTTGCCTCGGAGCCCTGGAAGCTGGAGACAGCCCCCCCGCCCCCCTCCCCACGCCCCTGGCTGCCCGCTCCGGAGGGGTCCCCCTGGCCCGCAGGCTGGCGGGGAGCCCCGACCGGCCGGATGACTGGGTGGCGCGAGCCCGCAGCCGCCAGGCCAGGATCCCAGCTGTCGCCCGCGGGACATCTGTCTCCGGGGGCCCCCTCGGCTCCCAGCTCCCCGCTCTCCCCTCCACCCCGCTGCGGGCGCCAAGGCCAGCGTGGGTGGCTGCGATCTCCTCGGTAACAGGGCCCCCCCATGCCTCCTCTCGGAACCTGCCGGCCCTCCTCGGCGGGCGCCCGCACCCCGCACCTGCTCTCCGGCCCCCCACGCCCCCCTCCTTCCCTGGCTCCCTGTCACCATCTGTGGCTCAATCCTTCTCTGTCACTCTCCTTGCCACCTCCTCTCCTCCTCCTTCCTTGCTCTCTCCCTCTCTCTCCCTCTCTCTCTCCCTCTCTCTCTGCCACTTCTCCGCTCTCTTTCCTCCTCCTCACTCCGTCACCGTTTCTCATTACTCCCCAACGTTCTGCCTCTCCACCCACTCTCTCTCTCCCTCTCTCTCTCTCCAGCTGACCCCCTTCCCCTCTTTTTTTTCCCTCTTCACTTCTCTCTGTCCCCCCCCCCCGCCGTTCTCCGCTTTTCTTTCTCTTCCTCCGATACCGACTCGCCCTGCAGTCCAGTCCCAGCTCCTGCCTGCCGACCCCCCCACAATCAGGGCCACCCCCCCCCCACGCCACACACCCCGGACGGACAGACGGACGGACGTGTCCTGGAGATGGGGAGTGATGTACTGGGCGCCGGAGGGGCGGCGGGGCCGGAGACCAGATGGGAACGGCTGTGTGGGCAGCCGTGGCCGCCGCGGGCCTAGGGGGGGCGGCCAGGCCCTGGAGGCAGGACGGTCTCCCAGTGGGCGCTGCGGGGAGCCCCGGCCGAGGGGTGTTTGGGGGACACCTGGGGCCCAGCAGCATGGCAACCAGCCCGGCGGCGGCGAGGAGGGGAACCCTGACCCACTGGGCAGGTAAGGGTCCGGGGACCAGTGCGGGTGCTGGGGGGGGATCGGGGTCTGGGGTGGTGTTCCTGGTGGCCTGTGGGGGGGGTGATGGTGGGGGGAGCTATCGCAACTAGAGTCTCCCGTTCTAGAATCTTGGACTAGAATGAGAGGAGGAGGAGGAGGAAGAGGCCGTGTTCTCCGCTAGCCTCCTGGGGTCCACTTCCTCGGGACTGGGGGGGGTGGGGGGTCAGGGAACACAGGGTCCTGAATTTCAGTAGGCTGGACCCGAGCTCCGGAGAGGTGAAGGGACCGGCCCAAGGTCACCCAGTCACTTGGTAACGTCCCCAGGTGCCCCCACCTGGGTCCTGGGGGGCTTGTCAGTGCACCCGGGGTACTGGCAGGCCCAGGGAGCAGAGGGTGGGCAGAATGCAGAGCGACCACCAGGGGGTGCCAGCGAGCAGGATGCAGGGTCACAGGGCAGGGTGCCACCCCCCCACCCGGCAGGCAGAGACTGGCTTTGGGGGGTCCCTAGGCTGCCCCGCTGATGGAGTCCCCTCCCACTCACAGCTGGGCGACCTTTGGCAAGTTCCTGCATCTTTCCACAGCCCTAGAGCCCCCCCCCCCCGGGAGGCACGCCCAGATCCTGGGCATCGCGCTGGGCGTTTGGGTTAAAGGGACAAAGAAGTTGGGGTCCTCACACTCACAGGGACACACTTTAAGGGGCACCCATGGCGGGGGAGACCCGGGGAGGACGGTCGGGGGATCCCGCAGCCCCCGGGTTGGGGGGCACTCACAGCAGCCGCTGCTCCCCCTCTCTGGAGCAATCCCCAGAGCCCGCCCCCGCTTCCAGGCAAGCTTGTGCCAAAGATAAACCAGACGGGCGAGTCCTCCCCCGCACGAGGGGCAGATGGGCCCAGAATCAGCTCCCCCACGATGGCTCTCTCAGGGGCTTGGGGACGCTGCCCATGAGACGCCCCGGTACCCTCGCCCAGGCTCCTGTCGGGTCAGCTGTGACTGGCCGCGGGGTTTGCCAGTGCCTGGACAGAGACTGGCACTGTGCCAGGCTGAGAGGTCAGGTGTCAGGGGCTGTGCTGGGGCCCCTCGGGACCCCGACGCCTGCAGGTCTGACTCTCTGCACCCTGGGGGTCCCTCTGCTGCAGCATCACCAGCATCTTGGTGGCCCAGTAGCTGTGTTCAGCGGACCCTGGGATCTGACTCGGGGAGGGCGGCCCAGGGTTTGGGTGGGAGGTGAGAGCCCAGTTTCTGGGGGTCCAGACCCCAGGATGTCAGGTCTCAGTGGGACCATGCGGGCCTCCAGGGAGCCTGAGCGCCGATGCTCTGACCCGGTGAGCCGGTCTCAGTTCTGGGAATCTCAGAAAGTGGGGCTGGAGCAATAGCACAGTGGGGAGGCATTTGCTCTGCATGCAGCTGACTCAGGCTGGATCTCAGAGCCACACATGGGGCCCCCGGACCTGCGAGGAGCGATTCCTGAGCAGAGTCAGGAGCAAAGCCTGAGCACTGCCTGGGAAGAAAGAGGAGGAGGAGGACGTGGAGGAGGAGGAGGAGGAAGAGAAGGAGGAAGAGGGAAGGGGAGGAGGAAGAAGAGGAGGAAGAGAAGAAGGAGGAGGCAGAGGAAGAAAAGGAGGAAGAGGAGGAGGAGGGAGAAGGAAGGAAAGGAAGAGGAGGAGGAAGAGGAGGAGGAGGAAGAAAAGGAGAAGGAAGAGGAGGGAAAGGAGAAGGAGGAAGGAGGAGGAGGAGGAGGGGGAGGAGAGAGGAAGGGGTCCTTTTTCTGGACCCCCTGACTCTGTGGGGTTGCTGGGGGCAGGGTGGGGGGTACTGAGCTTGAGGGAGGTTGAGGCACTGAGCCAAGAGCCAAACTGGCAGAGGAGACCAAATGCTGCTCAATCCTGGCTGGACATCAGGGGGGCCATGCACTCTGCACAGGGGTGCTGGGATTGGGGGCATGCTCCCCTCTTCCAGGAGTGGCGTTGCTGACTGACTAGGGTCCGGGGCGGCCTCCAAGACCCCATCTCTGGTGGCGCAGTGCTGCTCAGACGCTGAGCGGCACCTCGCGCGAGGAGGCCCGGAGACCGTGCTGGCCCCTGACCAGACCGCGTCTTTCTTCCTCCAGGCCGGTAGCTGCCTGCTGACGGCCCGAGCCCTCCCCTCCTCGGCATGGACGCCCTGGACGCTCCATCCCCCACGCCCGTCACCTCGGAACCCGGGAACGCCTCCTGGCCCTGGTCCCCGGACGGCAACGCGTCGGCGGCGGCGGCGGCGCCCGGCTCGGCGGGGCTGGCGGTCAGCGGCGTCCTCATCCCGCTGGTCTACCTGGTGGTGTGCGTGGTGGGCCTGCTGGGCAACTCGCTGGTCATCTACGTGGTCCTGCGGCACACGGCCAGCCCGTCGGTCACCAACGTCTACATCCTCAACCTGGCCCTGGCCGACGAGCTCTTCATGCTGGGGCTGCCCTTCCTGGCGGCGCAGAACGCCCTCTCCTACTGGCCCTTCGGCTCCCTCATGTGCCGCCTGGTCATGGCGGTGGACGGCATCAACCAGTTCACCAGCATCTTCTGCCTGACGGTCATGAGCGTGGACCGCTACCTGGCCGTGGTGCACCCGACGCGCTCGGCGCGCTGGCGCACGGCGCCCGTGGCGCGCGCGGTGAGCGCGGCCGTGTGGGTGGCGTCGGCCGTGGTGGTGCTGCCCGTGGTGGTCTTCTCGGGGGTGCCGCGGGGCATGAGCACGTGCCACATGCAGTGGCCCGAGCCCGCGGCCGCCTGGCGCGCCGGCTTCATCATGTACACGGCGGCGCTGGGCTTCTTCGGGCCGCTGCTCATCATCTGCTTGTGCTACCTGCTCATCGTGGTCAAGGTGCGCTCGGCCGGCCGGCGGGTGCGCGCGCCCACGTGCCAGCGGCGCCGGCGCTCGGAGCGGCGCGTCACGCGCATGGTGGTGGCCGTGGTCACGCTCTTCGTCGTGTGCTGGCTGCCCTTCTACGTGCTCAACATCGTCAACGTGCTGTGCCCGCTGCCCGACGAGCCCGCCTTCTTCGGCCTCTACTTCCTGGTGGTGGCGCTGCCCTATGCCAACAGCTGTGCCAACCCCATCCTCTACGGCTTCCTCTCCTACCGCTTCCAGCAGGGTTTCCGCCGCGCGCTGCTGCGCCCGTCCCGCCGCGTGCAGAGCCACGAGCCCGCGCTGGCGCCCGCCGAGCGCACCGAGGACGACGACGACGACGACGACGATGAGGGCGAGCACGGTGCCCGCAAGCCCGCCGAGGGCCAGGAGGCCAACGGGCGCGTCAGCCACATCGCGCCGCGGCCGGGCCCCAGCGGGCAGGAGCAGCCCCCGTGCGCCGGCGCCGCGGCCCCCGGGGGACACCTCCTGCCCCGGGAGCCCCGCGTGGGGGACAGGCCCGCGGCACTGCGGACCAGCTATCTCTGAGGGACCCACGCGGGGGTCCACGGAACCGGAGGCGGTGGCTTGTGCCACCCGGGTGTGGGGGCCCAGAGACCCAGGCCCGGCCGCAGGCCACGTTGCTGTGTGATCCTGGGTAGCTGGTTTGACCCCTCTGGGAGCCATGTTCTCCGCCGGGACTCAGGGATGAGGCTCGGCCCGGTGAGAGCTCTGGAAACCTGGAGTGGGGAGGGAAGGTCCTGGCTGGGCAGAGCCCCACATGGGCCCCCCACTCCCCTGGAATCAGCCTGAATGTGGTTCCCAGAGGGATCCATCCAGGCTTCCTGGGCTCCGAGACAGGTTAAGGAGAAGCATTGGGGTCCCCGGTTCATGGGGAGCTGCCCTGGATGCCGCCGCCGGGAGCGGGTGACACTGCTCAGTGAGACTACCTACCCTGGGGGACAGGGTCTCAGGTGCCAAGCGGTTCCGCCCGCCACCAGTGGCCACGCTTCCGTGCTCCGACTCCAGGAGAAGTGGCCACCCCAAGAAGGGAATCAAGGGGCTGGAGCGATAGCACAGCGGGGAGGGCGTTTGCCTTGTATGCAGCCAACCTGGGTTCGATTCCCAGCCTCCCATAGGGTCCCCTGAGCACCGCCAGGAGTAACTCCTGAGTGCAGAGCCAGGAGGAACCCCTGTGCATCGCCGAGTGTGACCCAAAAAGCAAAAAAAAAAAAAAAAAAAAGGGAATCAAGTCCAGCCTCAGAGTCCCTTCCTGGGCTCCTCTGAGGCCACACGTGCTATTTTGTACTTGCACTTTTGTATTCTTTTCTTAGGGTCCAGAGGGCCCGGGGACCTCACCCAGGCCCTGTGGAGAGCAGCTGACCCCCCCGCCAAAGCTGCCATTGCAGTGTCCGAGGGCTGCAGGGGCCCTCCAGGGGGGTCCCCATAGGAGGAGTCATGCCTGTCTCCTCCCTGAGACCTGGGCAGGGTCCCCACCCCACAGGCTGGCAGGGACCCTCAGGATGTCTCAAGGGCGCCGGGCAGGGAGAGGAAGAGACAGAGCTGGGGGGGTGGGCGAGGAGGAAGTGGGCACAGAGGAGAGATCTGGCCGGTGACCCTGGCCCGGGGCCCGGCTGCAGCCAGATTGGTGACTCCTGGCGTGATGTGAGGGGCAAAACCAGGCTGGGAGAGAACACAGAGGAACGGGTGAAGCTCATGCAAGGGGCAAGGCCCCAGGCGCCATCCCCGTACCACGGGGGCCTCCAGAGTGCTCCGGAGTTAGCCCGGGAGTCCCTGGCACTGCGGGTGGTGCCCCAAATAACTAATAATGAGACACAAAGACCAAAAATCCCAGAGTGAAAAACAGATATTTAGGGAGATCCACGCTAGCCCCACTCAGAGGAAGGAGTTCTGGGCCAACGGGGCCACAGCTGCCTCCCTGGGGGCCTTGAGGTGGGTGGAGGAGCTGGACTCCCTCTGCTTTTTATTCCCCCGGAGGAGGGGGGTCAAGATCTGGAAGGTTCTGGAACAGGGGGCATAGTCTCAGGCTGGTTTGGGTGGCCCTGGTCTCCCTCCTAAAGGGGCCCTGAGGCTCATGGGCTCCATCACCCCAGCCCCCCACGCCCCGCAGAGGGCAGGGCACCTCAGGCAAAGCACTGAAGCTGCATGCTGGATATTTCTCTTCCTCTGGGTCCTGGCTGGACCCGTGGGCCTCAGTATCCCCCTCATAAAATAGAGGTGATTGTGTGCCCCCTTCTCTAGTCTGTCTCCTGTGTTGTGTGTGTGTATGTGGGGGGGGGGTGGGACCATGAGTCAAATCATGCTAGGTAAAAACTATGCATTATACACTCTGCAATGGATGGTAAAGTGGAGGTGTACACGCACACACACACACACACAAACACACACAAACACACACACAAACTTGGTCTACACCCTTTACTCTCAAGTAACCTATCCTGACTCGCAGTAGTAGTGGCGGGGATGGTACAGAACACACGGTGTGACTGGGGTTAGAGGAGGCCAAGACGGACAATCTTCGGGGGGCGATGTGCACACAGCTAGAATCCAAGCCCTCAGTCTTGGGGCTCCCCTGAGGGCGATCTGGGGTTCATAGGGGAGTGGATGCTTCTGGTATTCCAAGTTGTTTGGGGTCAGTTGGCCTTCCCAATTCCCGGCTAGGCGGGAGGGGCCCCGGGGAGAATCCTCTGCGGTTTCTGCCCCAGCTCTTGTCAATACAGATGATGACACGTGATTGACAGCCGAGGCCGGTTGCTGACTTTCCTCCTGTGCATGGTGCGGCCGCCCCTGCGGTGGAGGGGTTTGCGTACCGCAGTCCACGCTCTCCCGAAGTTCCCTCTGTCTGCTCGGTGTGTCCAGCCCTCTGTGTGGGGCATGGAGGATGCTTCCGGAGACTTCAAGCCTACATCCTCAGAGACCGGGATGCAAAACCCTAAATCACACGGAAGAAAGCTGATTGGTTCCAACTGGGTCACATGATCATCCTCGAGGCCAATCACCAAAGACCAAGTATTAGTGTGCCATGATTGGCCAGGGGTAGGTCATGTACCTAGCCTTTCAGCCATAGAGAAGGCGAGGCACTGTGATGGACAGTCAGCCCGACCAATGGGGCAGGGAGATGTTCAGAGAGCCAAGAGAGGAGGCGGGTCATGTAGCAACAATGCTGCTGGGCCCGGCCCGGAGCACACAGTAGGTTCAGGGCATTTCGGCTGTAGCCAGAAGACCGAAGACCTGCAGTGCAGGTGGAGGTGCACATAGGGCAGGGGCGGAGGGATGCCAAGAGCGTGGGGGGGATTCTCCTTTGCCTGTGCAGCTCATGTGCACCTGGGGGACTGAGGAGGGGTTCGGGTGTTGCACCCATATTCCGAGGGCTGAGCAGTTCTGGGGACCTTTTGGTACGTGTTGGGAATGAATAAATAAATGCACGCCCCAAGAATCCTCTCTCCCTGATCTTTATAACTTCCTCGGATCTTATGCTACGTGGTCGCCCGAAAAAAAAATGAAGTGGGGAGGAGGTCATCAGATTGGGCGGAAGGAGCGGGTATAGGGATTCGGGCTGGGATGGAATGGGGAAGGCAAGAATAGCGGGGGCTCGGGGAGGTGAGCCTGAGCGGGGAGGCTGCTCAGGACACCCCCTCCCCGTCCCTGACTCCCTTGCACACACCCTGCTCGCTCAGATCCGAGGCCTTACCTTGAACTTCACGCTGAGTCGGTTGCCAGGCAACAGCCCAGGACCACAGGGCTCTGGACTGGAACCTCTCGCGTCCACCTCAGCAGCTGGGCACAAGAGCCGGGAGTCTGCGCGGCCTGAAGAGGGGACGCCAAGACCCCTGGCTTCAAATCGGGCTCATCTGCCAGAGGAAGGGAAGAGTGTGTGTGTGTGTGTGTGTGTGTGTAGATGTGGGGGCGGGGTGGAGGGCAGACAGCCCAGATGCTGTAGATAGCAATTACAGGGCAGCGGGATGCCCATGCCGCATTGTGTGGGGTAAGGGGGGGGCATTGCTCAACCCAGTGTCCTGGCCAGACCTCAGCAGGCTTATTCCAGCCAGGTGCCCTGCCCAGCCTCTTGCTGAATCCCCAAAGCTGTGGGTAACCACATCCCTAAACGTGAGAGGAGGGGCTGGAGCGATAACACAGCCGGGAGGGCGTTTGCCTTCCATGCGGCCGACCCGGGTTCGATTCCCAGCATCCCATAGGGTCCCCTGAGCACCACCAGGAGTAATTCCTGAGTGCAAAGCCAGGAGGAACCCCTGTGCATCGCCGGGTTGTGACCCCCCCCCAAAAAAGAATAGCAATAAGGTATGTGCTTTGCCCGGGACTGGTCTGGTTTCGATCCCTGGCATCCCATACGGTCCCCCAAGCACCACCAGGAGCAGTTCCTGAGCGCAGAGCCAGAAGTAAGCCCTGAGCACCGCCGGGTGTGTCTACCGCCGACCCCAAATATAAATAAAAGTGAGAAGAGCTTTAAGACCAGGAAAGGGGGGATGGAAAACGTCTTAGGTATTGACAATGACTCCCACCCCGTTTTACGGCTCAGAGTTTATGGTCACATGACCTGCCTGTAGCACCAACCCAGAGCAGCCCCCGGCCTCTGGTGCCCAGATCCCAGACAACCTGGCCAGTGTTGTTTTTATTTGGGGGGGGCAGTGACTGAGGGCAGTTGTTAGGGTTTGCTCCCGGCTCTGTGCTCAGATATCACCCACTCCCGGTGGGTGGCTTGGGGCAAATGCCACGTATGATCTCCCCAGACCCGGAGAGTGTCAAAGCTGAAAACGAGGCCTAGAACGGCAGTCTGGGCTGACAGCCCGGTGGCCACTCCACCCACACTCTGCACCAGGGGCCAGCGGCAGACCCGGTGCTCAGGTGTCCACAAGCAGCCCTCTCCAGGAAGCCTGCATCCGGACCTGCCTACAGAGAGGTGGGGGCGCATGCTTGGCACCCTCGGGGCTCCCAGATGCACAGGCCACAGCTTTCCCGGGAGCCCAGGTCCTCCAGGCCCTCTGGCTACAAACACCAGCTGTGGTGTGGCCTGTGGGCTGCGCTTGGCCTGCTTGGCCTTAACGAGCAGAAACAAGGTCAATATTTGCACGGGGGCTGACGCGGTAGGGAGGAAGACGTTTCCTGTGCTCTCTGCTGCAAGAATCAACGGCGGCAGGGCCTGGAAGGATAGCACAGTGGGGAGGGCATTTGCCTTGCAGTGGACCCGGGTTCGATGTTCGATTCCCAGCATCCCATAGGGTCCCCTGAGCACCGCCAGGAGTGATTCCTGAGTGAAGAGCCAGGAGTAACCCCTGTGCATAGCCAGGTGTAATCCAAAAAGTAAAAAAAAAAATAAACGGTGGCAATGATGGGGGCTGGGAGGCGGGGCAAAGCAAACACACCGTGCCCGGTTTGACCTCTAGTGCCTCCATTTCTAAAACCTGTTTGTCTGTCACCCGACCTCGGCACCGCTGGGGCCTCAGAATGCGGGTTTGTAAGCTCCGGTTTCAGGTCTGCGGGGTGGCGCGCTACGCGCTGAGTCCGCCAGGGGGAGCCGCAGGACCTCCCGCTCGGCCAAACTCGGCTCTTTTCGGTCACCCTCGTTCTCTCGTTCGGGCGGACCCGCGGGCTCGGCTCCCTTCGGTTCTGTTCGGGAGCGCTCGGCAACACTCGGTTCCGCTCGGCTCCGCTCGGGGCTGGATGCGGCAGAGACGCCTCCGTGGCGGCGCCGCGACTCCTCCCTCCCTCGCGACGGTCTTCCGGGGTAGAGGCCCGGAGTTCCGCTGGGGGGGGGAGGGGGGGACCCTGCGCGACCACCTAGGTGTCCAGACTCCGCCTGTGTTGCTCCGTGCCTCAGTTTCCCTCTCTTGAAAAGGCCGTAGCGGGTAGAAGGCCTGTGTCCTTGCTTCTGACCTCGTGGTGGAGTTAGAAGTAAAAATGGAATTAAAGTCTCCCATCTGGGGCCGGAGCGACATCACATTGCCCTGCACGCGGCCGACATCACATTGCCCTGCATGCGGCCAACATCACATTGCCCTGCACGGGTTCGCTCCGGGGCACCCCATCTGGGCCCCCCAAACCCCGCCAGGGGTTGATCCCTGCACGCAGAGCCTGGAGGAAGCCCTGAGCGCCGCCGCGTCTGGCTCGAAAATTAAAAAATAAATAAACAGATTCCCCGACCTCTAATTTCCCCCCAGTTTCCAAGAACCGGGCCCAGGGCCACGCAGCTTGGTGAAAGCAGGTCTGGGGCCAGCGGCCAGCTCGGGGGAGGCTGGGCGCTGAGCCGCCCTCGGCTCTGTCCGGCTGTCCTGTCCAGCTGTGGCAGGAGTCGGGGTTGGCGCCCCGGCCAGCCCTTCCTTCTCCTCCTCCTCTTCCTCTCTCCTCCCGGCTCACCTTAGGGCCCTGAAACGCATAGGAGCCGTGGGAACCGCGCGGGCCCCGGCGGCCGCTCCGCCCAGCAGGTGGCGCTCTCGGCGGCCTCCGCTCAGCATCTTGCAGCATCTTCTTGAATCTGCCCTGGAGCAGTTAGATCTGCGGCTTTCCAACCCGTGTACAGCTGACGGCAAGAATCATGTTTTCCTCCCGTCATATTTTTTTTGACAGCCACACATTCGATTTTTTTAATTATTTTTTTTGATGCATGAAGGTTTCCTGGTGCCTTGTAAACACTGACTAAATGTCACTATTTTTATACAGCCCATCTCGAATAACATCATTTCCTTGTACTTTTCTTGGAGTTTGGAGGAGGGGGGGTGGGGCGGGGGAAGTCCGGGCTGACCATGTTTATTCGAGGGCCTGGTTTTGATATCTATCCTTTTGTTTCAAGTGCCCCTGGTTAAGTGAGGCGTCAGCTACCCCGGACGTTGAGGACATGTGATGGAGCCAGGATTCTGAGAGTCCCAAGTCTTTCCCGTAAACTAGCGTGTGTGCACTTGTCAGGGGGGCGGGGGGGGGGGGGCGATGGCTTGGGTCTGTACAGACTTGTGAGCAAAAGAAAGGCCAGTCACCGGGTCTGGGTTTCTGGCCTCTGTTGGGGAGAGTGCCTGTGCAGATGGGGAGACGGCAGAGTGACGAAGGGGTGTCGGGGCTGTGAATGTGGGCCCTGGGGTGGCTCCCAACCCTCCTGCTCTCCAGGGTCGGGCCTGGAGAAGCCCCCAGACGTGGCCTGCAGAGGGAGCCCCAGTTGCATCCCTCCTGGCTTCTTGCTCAGGTTGCTCCAAGGATCTTTTTTTTTTTTTTTTTTTTTTTTTTGCTTTTTGGGCCACACCCGGCAATGCACAGGGGTTCCTCCTGCCACTGCACTCAAGAATTACTCCTGGCGGTGCTCAGGGGACCATATGGGATGCTGGGAATCGAAACCGGTTGGCCGAGTGCAAGGCAAACGCTCTACCCGCTGTGCTATCACTCTAGCCCCTGCTTCGAGGATCTTGGTCTCATCCTGGCCCTAGGTGCCAGGGACACCCCAGCTGGGAAGGAGGGAGAGGTGCCCAAGGTTTCAGAAACACTGCAGCTGGGAAGCAGGGGGAGTTGCCCAGGGTCCCAGGGACACCGCAGATGGGAAGGAGGGGAATGTGCCCAGATTCCCAGGGACACTGCAACTGGGAAGGAAGGGGAGATGTTCCAGGGTCCCAGGGATGCTGGAGCTGGAAAGGAGGGGGAGGTGTCCCAGGCTCCCAGGGACACTGCAACTGGGAAGGAGGGGGAGATGTCCTGGGTCCCAGGGACATTCCAGCTGGGAAGGAGGGGGAGATGCCCAGGGTCCCAGGGACACTGCATCTGGGAAGGAGGGGGAGATTCCCAGGGTCCAGAGACACTGCACCTGGGAAGGAGGGGAAGATCCCAGGGTCCAGAGACACTGCACCTGGGAAGGAGGGGGAGATGCCCTAGGGTCCCGCAGCTGGAAGGGAGTTGGAGCTGAGGCGATGCCCAGGTCTCTGCTCCCGGGCTGGAAGTGGGGCTCCATGCTGGTCTGGGGGAGCCCCTTGGGATGTCTGAGCCCAGGGGTGAGGCCCAGTGAGATTGCTAGCGCTGCTGGGGGGGGGGCAGGAGGCCAAAGACAGAGTGTCGAGTTCCTGAGCCCCCCTCTCTCCCCTGCCCTGCCCCCGCCCGCTACCCTGCACAGCCCTTCCTGGGGTGGGGGTGGGGGCAGGCACCCACTTGCCAGCCTTTCTCTCCAGCCATCACCCCTCGCCCCCCTAAGCGCCCCGGACCTCCAGAAACAGGGCCTGAAGCATGGGACTGGTGCCAGGCAGAGCCCTGCTGGGGCGTCTGGACAAGCCGTTCCCGGCCTCCCGCCCAGCCGCCTGCCCGTCCCTCCCGGCCCAGGCTCCGGGCTGCTGACTCAGCCCTTTCCCGCGGCCGCCGGGAGGGGGCGGGGAGGGCGGCCCCCTGGCCGGGCCTGGGAACGCTGCCTGGGCCAAGGCCGCGGAGGGCACAGCTCGCGGAGGGGCCCCTCCCAGCTCCCAGCGCCGCCCCCTGGGATTTCCTGGAGCCCCTGCACCGGGCGGGAGGGGGGTGGGGGCGCCGGGCTGACGTCAGAGCCTGGAGCCAGAGCAGGGCCTTGCCGGGGTCACCCCGTCCTGGCGGCCCCCGCCCCCCGTGATTGATTTCATCACCACCCCGGCTCCTGCCAGCCCAGATGTTCAGCTGTTTGATGGGCTCGTCGGGAAGCTAAGGCCCAGGGCGAGCGCTGGTCAGGGTCCCTGCCCAGGGGCAGCACTGACCCCCTCCAGGCTGGGCGCGCTGTGGGCGGGGCTTCCTCTGTTCCCACAGGCAGCTTCTCCACCAGGATTCCTCCAACCCTGAGTTTGCACCCCGCGCCGCGGCAGGTATCCCCAGAGCTGGAGGGAGGCCTGAGACCTGCCCTGGTTGGGGGGGGTTGGACCCCAAAGATCGGGCTGCAGCCTTTGTCTGAGCTGCCAAGCAGGAAGGGCCGGCTCGGTGTCCTCATCTGAACCCCTGCGGTGTGTTCCCAGGGGCACAGGTTTAGAAGGCCAGAGGATGGATCAGTTAGAGGGGAACCCCCAGGTCTGGGGGTCCCTGCAGCTGGGCCTCACGTCACCCCGGGAGAGGGGATGAGAGATTATCTCTTCCCACCCATCATTCCAGACCCCCCCTGCCTGCCGCCTCCAAGTGCCAATCTGTCCTGGTTTCCTCCCAGAACCTGCCCAACTGGGCAGGAGGGCTGGGGGCTGGCGGGGAGGGGGCGACCCCTGCCACAGGACCCAAGGTGGCGAGGAGAGCGGATTGCAACCGCGGCTGCAGGGCTGAGTGTCCAATGCCGCCCTGGCCCCTCGCCCCTGCCCAGTCAGGGGTCAGGGGTGGGTGGGGGAGAGTCTCTATGTCCCAGCTGGAACACCCCGGGGTCTCTGACTTCTTCCTGGCCCTCATCTCCTGCACCGGCGGCGGCGGCGGGGGGAGACCCCAGCAAAGAGTTAAGCAAGAAATCCCAGCCCCCCTCACCCCGGGAGCAGCGGGAGGGCGGGAGGCCCGGGCTCCTCCCTCCCTCCCTCCCTCCCTCCCTCCCTTTCTCCCTCCCTGGGCCCGGAGCCTGGGGGTCTGGTCCAGCCGCGACTTATTCTCCCAGACATGGGCCCGCCGGCCAGCGGCTGCGCAGCCCCGGGGCCGTGAGCCGAGGGGCCGTGAGCTCCCAGGACCGTGGGTGAGTGACGTCCGACCCGTCCGTCGTTTCCGTGGCCGGCCACGGAGCCCAGAGCCCCTCGGTGCCTGCCCGGAGGGGGGCGGGGGTGGGGGCATCCCCTTGGCCCTCCCCTCCCCCCTCCTGCAGGGACCAACTCAGCCCCAGCCTGGACCCTCCCCAAAACACAGCCCTTCCTCCCATTGGCTCCCTGCGGACGCCGCCCCCCACCCCGAATTCTCGATCATTTTTTTTGGTGGGGAGGGGGTCTTCTCTTTTTAACGGCCTCTTTGCTTCCGCTCTATCCAGGTGCCTGCCGTCGGCTTTCTGTCTCTAAGCGCTTTTGTCTCCCATCTGGCCTGGCCAGGATCTGGAAGATGCTGGACGCCCCCTGCCCCCCCCCGCCCCCTCCCCGCCTCCTCCCACCCACCCCAGCATCTGGGAAAAGTCGGGTGCTTTGTCTCTGATTCAGACACGGGGAGAGGTGGCAGGAACAGGAAACCGCAAACTTTTATGAAGCCCTTTTTTTTTCTTTACGAGCCGGGCACAGGGCCCTGGAAAGAAGGTGGATGTGGCGGCCGCTGGTGCCAAGGAGCCCCGAGCCCAGAGAGGGTGTGCCACTCGCCCTAAATCACACAGCGGGTGAACTCCTCTAGGCTCTGACTGTCGTTTCTCTTGTTCCCTGAGAGGGACCGGGCGTGAGGGGCATGGGAGGGGGAGAGGAGGGGAGAGCGCTCGGTCCCCTGCAGTCAGCAGGGATGTGTGGCTGAACGAACACCAGGGTCCCCACGGAGCAGTCACAGAACCAGGGCGGTACCGGGGTGTGAGAAGGGGCGCCGCCAGGAGGGCTGCTCCCCTCCCCCACCTCTCTTGCCTCCTCAGCCGCGGGCCGCGTGTGTGTCTGTGGGAGGGGGCCGTGTCCCCTGCCCCGTGACACCTCGCTCCGACCTCAGTGCTCTGCAAACATAACCTGGCATGACACACACGATTGCGTCTCCTTTTTATTTTCGGGGCCCCCGGGCTTAGCCCCCCACCCCGGCTCTGCACTCGGGGTTCACTCCCAGCGGTGCTTGGGGGGCCCTCTGGGGTGGGTGCCGGGGCGGGGTGGGGGAGAAGCCAGGTCGGCCTGGTGCCAGGCGAGCGCCCTGCAGTGGCCCCTGGTCCTGCCCTCTTGACATGTATTAACCGCAGAAAAATATTTTTGAACTGTGCGAAATGTTACAGGGGAACAGAAAGGAAATAAACAGAGAAATGCCAGAGGAGCAGCGCGCAGCCTGGCTTCAAAGCCAGTCTCTGATGCCGTCCTGATAAGGCTGCCACCCCCTCCGACGCCCCATTTCCGGCCCCTCCCCCCGCGCCCCCCGCGCCCCCCCGCGGCCCCCCGCCTGGCACTCGGGGTCCTTCCTTTGGCCACGGCCTAAAAAAGCCCCGCAGACAGGCCCGGGGACCCTTGGGATCCTTTGGGATTTTCCAGCCCACATCCTGCCCCCTGGATTCCAATTTACCACCGTGGCAGCTGATTGGCCGGTCCGGGATGATTGACGCAGCCTCCATCCAATGGCTGCAGCCCCTGCCTCTCCCCGGCCCTGCGGGGCTGTGGGTGGGTGGGGGGCCAGGCTGGAGCCCCCCGGCCGGGGAGGGGGGTGGGCTGCTTTGCAGCCGCAGGGGTTTCCGATTTGTCGGCCCAGACGCGCTGCCAAGACCCCCGTCTCAGCACCAGGGTGCCCAGGCGCCGGCTGGGTCCCCCCAAGAGTCCTGTGCGTGTCCCTAGGGCCCCTGAAAGACCCCCACCCCACGCCCGACCTCATTCTGCCCCCCTCATTTTGCTCACTTGGGCGCTGCTCCCAAGGGCAAGCGAACATTCTTGTTGGGAGGGGGAAGGGAGGGGCGCGTCATTGCTCAGGACAGAGGGGGCTCCCTCCTTGACAGCTCGTTTTTTTGGGGGGGCCTGACTGCCAAGCTCCTTAGGGACCGCGGAAGCGGGCCTCAGTCTTACCCTCTGTTCAATGGATCCATAGACCCTCTCGCCCGCCACAGGGCCTGCGCAGGCCCTGCGTCCAGGCCCTGGGTATCCCGGGGGCGCCCGGTTCACGACCTCTCTGCCTCTCCTGTTGTTGGCTCCAGGTCGCCGCCATGGGGTCAGTGGCCCCGGGCCTGGCCTGGGCCGTGCTTCTGCTCCCCGTCTTGGCGTGCGGGGTCCCCTCCGACGAGCTCCTGTCTGCAGAACCCGCGCCGGGGCAGTGCCGCAGGTGCTGTGCGCCCGGGGAGTTCCCAGCGCGGCCCTACGTGCTGCCTGAAGTGAGGCCCTACATCAACATGACCATCCTCAAGGGTGAGCCCCCCCCCCAACCCCGGACACCCCGGGGCCCCGCGGCTGGCCCTCCCGCCCAGCTCAGCCAGGTCCTGGCATTGCACGTCCCCTCCCCGCCCGGTGACCCCTGAGCGCGCTGACCTCGTGCTGGGTGTCCCACCCGCACCCCCGCCCAAAGAGAGGCAGGCTCGCTCCCCTCCCCCCACTCTGGACGTGGGTGACCCACGCGCTGCGCCCACTCCAAGGTGTGCACATGGCGTGCAGTGGTCATTTCCCCGAGGGGCCGGCTGACCGCCCACTTCCGCAGTCCAACCCCTGGGCTCAGCTTCCTGCCCTCTGCCTTCTGCCCAGAAACTCCTCGGAGGGTGCCGCCCCCCACTCCCCAGACCACATTTCCCTAGGGAGGGGTGCAGAGTCCTGGAGCAGAGGGGGGGGTCCCCACAGACTGCGGGGTGGGCCCCGGGGAGGACAAGAGCAGACCGTCAGGGCATCAGGGGTCAGTTCCGAGCTGTGCGACCCCGGGCCAGTCCCCTGTCCCCTCTGAGCTTGGACCAAGTGTCCCCCGGGGCTTTGCACCGTCTGCAACCTGGAGGGGACCACGGGCCTTGCAACCGACGGGGGGTCTGCAGCCGCGAGGGGAGCGCGGGCCTTGCAGCCCGCCCTAACACCTTCCCCCTCCGCTCTGCTCCCGCAGGCGACAAGGGGGACCGCGGCCCGCCGGGCGCCCCGGGCAAGCTGGGCCGGGAGGGCGCGCGGGGCGAGCGCGGCCCCCCGGGCGGCAAGGGGGCGCGGGGCGCGGCGGGCCGGCCGGGGGCGCCGTGCCGCGCGCGCTACTCGGCCTTCTCGGTGGGCCGCAAGGCGGGTCTGCACAGCGGCGACGGCTTCCAGCCGCTGCGCTTCGACACGGTCTTCGTCAACCCCGACGGCCACTTCGACCTGGACGCCGGCCACTTCCTGGCGCCCCTGCGCGGCCTCTACTTCTTCAGCCTCAACGTGCACAGCTGGAACTTCAAGGAGACGTACGTGCACGTGGTGCGCAACGACGAGGCCGCCGTCATCCTGTACGCGCAGCCCAGCGACCGCAGCATCATGCAGAGCCAGAGCGTCATCCTGGCGCTGGCGCCCGGCGACCGCGTCTGGGTGCGGCTCTTCAAGCGCGAGCGCGACAACGCCGTCTACAGCGACGACGTGGACACCTACATCACCTTCAGCGGCCACCTGGTCAAGCCCGAGGACGAGGGCGAGGACGAGTAGCGCGGCGGCCGACGGCTCTCCTCTCATCCCCCCCACCCCAGGGACCCCCAAGGGGCGCCCTTCCCTCCCCCAGGACCCCCTCGCCTCGCTTCCTCTGTTTCTGCCTCTCTCCTGCCTCTCTCCATTCCTTTTAGTCACACCTGGCAATGCACAGAGCATTGGCACAGAGCATTGGCTCTGCACTCAGGAATTACTCCTGGCGGTGCTCGGAGGATCATGGGGGATGCCAGGGATTGAACCCGGATCGGCCGCATGCAAGGCAAACACCCTCCCTGCTGTGCTATCATTCCGCCTCTTCCCGGCCTATTTTTTGGGGAGAGGGGAGGTCACACCCGACGATACTCAGGGATTCCTCCTGGCTCTGCACTCAGGAATCACTCCTGGCGGTGCTCAGGGGATCCTATGGGATGCCAGGGATTGAACCCGGGTCGGCCGCATGCAAGGCAAACGCCTTCCCTGCTATGCTATCATTCCGGCGTCTCTCCGTCCTTTTTTTTTTCCTTTTTGGGTCACACCCGGCGATGCTCAGGAGTTCCTCCTGGCTCAGCACCAGAAATCACTCCTGGCGGTGCTCGGGGGACCCTATGGGACGCTGGGAATCAAACCCGGGTTGGCCGGGTTGGCCGCGTGCAAGGCAAACGCCCTCCCCGCTGTGCTATCACTCCAGCTTCTCTCCATCCTTTTTTGGTTCTGTTCTGTTTTGTACTATTAGGGCCACACCCGGTGGTGCTCAGGGATCACCCCTGGCGGGCTCGATCATGTAGGATGCCAGGGACTGAATCCCGCATTGAACCCTTGCACACGATGGGGCGGCGTGTGCAAGGCCAGCGTCCTCCGCTGTTGTCTCTCCAGTCCCCTTGGACGCGTTTCTTGCTTTGTTTGTGTTGGGCCACACCCAGCAGTGCTCAGGGGTGGCTCCTGGCTCCACGCTCCGGAATTCCCTGCTCCTGGCTGTGCCTGGCACCACACAGGATGCTGGGGATGGAACCCAAGTTGGCCCGCACGCAGGGCAAATGCCCTCCCCGCTGGACTATGGCTCCAGCCCCATCTTTGTTGGGTACATTTTAACACACATGCTCGCATCTTAAATGTTCTAGAACATTCCCAAGATGTGCCCGCAAAGCACCGGGGGTCTTGTTACCATTCTTTGGGGGGACCCGGGAGCCTGCCAGGCTAGGAAATTCCCATGAAGAGGTGCTGCTATTGCTACTTTGGGGAGTGATTCTGGAACTTTCCCAACAGATTCTCCTTCCAGAAAGTTCTAGACTCTTCCAGACCTTCTAGAATCTCCCCAGACTCCTTCACTCCTCTCGTCCTTCTAGGAACCTCCTCCTCTGGCCTCCGACTCCCCCTTCCCTTCTTTTTCACACTCCCCTGGACCCCCCAACCCCGAGCAATCGCTGCTCGCTCATTCCCTCATCAAACCCCGAGTGGGCTTTGGGAAAGTTGGGGCGGTGGGAGTGGAGAGGGGGACTCAGACCCCACCACGGCCCTGGGGTGAGGGGCTCCTGGCCAGCCAAAGCGGGGAGATACCAGATTTTGAAATGAGCCCCCATGAAAAGTGGGGAGTCCTAGTCACACAAGTGTGGGGTCTGGGTGCTAAGGCTCAAAGGCCCCCCGCTCCCTACCGCTCCCCCGCCGGCAGACCAGGGTCTCTGCCCACATCCCTCCTTCCTGCCCGCGCCCAGAATTCAGGCAAGCCCCTGGGGGGGCTGGGTCAGCGCCAAGGTGCTCTGAGGGGACAACTCAGGTCTTCGGGGAGGTTTTGGGGTGCAGCCTAGCGCCCCACCTCCCTGGCACACTGGTCTGGGAGCTCCGGCTCACTGCCTCCCCTCTGCCTGCCCCACTCCTGGGGTTTTGTAAGGTCCGGCCTCAGTTTACCCAAGTTCCCCTCCTCCGTCACCACCGGTGTCGTCCCCAGGTGCTCTCTGACCGTCCTTGTCCCCTGCGCTACAGGCTTTGAGAAAGGTGCTGAGGCCCCGGTGGGCACCCCCCACCCCCGAGGGTCGCCTCTGGCCGTGCCTTCCCTCACCCGGGCCCGGGCCAGGATGCAGAGTCCAGGCCAGGATGCAGAGTCCCAGCCCGGTACCCTCAGCAGGTCTGAGACAACTCCTTCAGGGTCCCCATGGGGCCCCTCCTCTGAGTCATGAGGCCCGTGAGTGGCCCCAGGAGAGGCCATGGCCAGGGCAGTCCACCCAGGCCCCCATGTTCTCCCCTTGGGAGGCCTCCTCCAGGCTGGCCCCCTGGTTTTCTCCTCTCCCACCCCAGGGGCCCAGCCCTCTCCTGGGAGACACGTGGCCTCCACCCACTGGTGCTCACACAGACACAGACCGAGGGGGGGGGGGCCTCTGGTGCTGGCGCCCAGCTGAGGCGCCTGCAGGCGGAGGCGGGAGGTGAGGGGGTGGCCGTGGGGCCCCTGGCGTCCCCCCTCTGCCCTGTCTCGCTTGTCCAGCATGATTAAAAGTTCTTGGATAAAAAACACGCCTCACATTCCTGGTGACGCAGGATGGTTCTTTCTGTGCTCTGCCCTCCCGGCCCCCTTGGGGAGCGAGCCCAGTTCTGCTCTGCAGGGGCCTGAACCTGGGGGACCCCCAGCACCCACAAAGAAACCGATCCCTCGACCACTCGGACTGTGGGGCCCCAACGGCTGTGACCCCTGGCCGGGTTCCGGCATCGCTGGGCCTCAGTTTCCTCGTCTGTGAAATAGGCCGATAGGGATGGGCTAGCAGAGGTCGCGTGGTGTGGGGTCGAGAGTAGCCTCTGTCAGCCTTAGTCTCTCTGCTGTGGGGGTCCCGGGAGATGGGGGTGCTGGCAGGTGGGGGTGCGGGCGGGCGGTGAGCGTGCTGGCGGGCGTGAGAGGGGCGTTTGTTCAAGGAATGAATGAATGGCTTTCATGCAGTGGCCGCTGGGCGTCCTTGGCTGTGGCGTTGCCAGCGCCTGGCCCGGCCCAGTAGCCACATACTGCCACGTGGACACGCAGGACCAGAAACAGCTGTCCTGGGCCCCGCGGCTGGGCAGGAGCTGGAGGATGAAGGAGGGATTTCCAGGACAGGCAGGGGACCGGGGACAGTGCCCGGTGGGGCGGGACCTGTGGGGCCAGCGCCAACCCCGCCCCCGCCCCTCCCACGAGCCTAGGGGCCTGGGGTGGGGTGCAGGTCTCTGTTGGAGGTAGAAGTGTGGGATGGAACCGGTAGTAACTGGGGTTCCCGGAAATAGGGACCCTCTGCGGGGCTGCAGGGTGAGGCAGCGGGGACAGGGTGGGGGTTCCGGGAGGCCTTTATGAGGGGACAGTTATTCCCAAACTCGGGGAAGAAGGAGACCAAGAAACCGAACTTGCAGGCTTGACCTGCTCAAGGCTGAAATGTGGGGCTGGGGCGGGGGCGTGGGGTCTTCTCTAGCCTCAGCTCTCACTGTCCCAACTGCCTGGCTTCCCTGGGTGGGGGTCCTCTCTAGCCTCAGCTCTCACTGTCCCGACGTCCTGGCTTCCCTAGGGGTGGGGGTCCCCACCTAAGCAGGTCAAGTGCAGCCGCTCCCTGAGCTGCGGGAGGAGACTCAGCCCTGCGAGCCCCCCTCCCTGAAACATGCTGGGGGAGGGGTCCTCTTCCTCCACAGCCCACGAGGCCCCCTCCTCTGCTCTGCAGAGAACAAACGCCCCCCTGTGAACCTCAGACACCCCAACTCACGACCTCTTGCCAGACTCCAGCCGGGGAGGTGGAACCGGGGTCTGCTTGGCCAGGAACCCCGAGACTGGCCGGGAGACGGGGGTGCAGGCGGGAATGAGGCGGAAATGCTGGCGGCTGAGGGGCGTTGTTCGAGGCATGCATAAAGGTCCTTGCTTCTTTCTCTCTGCACAGCTCCCGATGGGGTACATGGGGGGTCTGGGGGGGATGGACTGTGGGGGTCTTTCCCCAACTCTCTCCTGGAGCTTATCACTCATCTCATTCTTGTTTTTATTGTGATGTATTGATTGATTTGGGGGTCACACCAGGCAGTGTTTGGGGCCAACCTCTGGCTCTGTGCTCATGGATCACTCCTGGTGATGCTTGGGGGACCCTATGGGGTGCCTGGGATTGAACCCAGGTCAGGCGGGTGCAAGGCCAGCCCCTCAACGTTTGAGTTTAGATTAATGTATTTATTTAATTGACTCGGCGTGAGACCCATCCCTCCACCAGGGTACATATCGCACCACCAATGTCCCCTGTATCCCTCCTGCCACCCCCACCCCACGCCCTGCCTCTGTGGTGACAATTTCCTTTTTACTCTCTCTCTCGTTTTGGGCATTACGGTTTGCAAAACGGATACTGAGAGGCCATCACATTTGGTCCTTTATCGACTTTCAGCACACATCTCCCATCTCAAGCGATCTCCCCAACCATCCTTGACTTAGCGATCCCTTGTCTATCCCAGCTGCCTTCTCCCCCAGCTCCTGAGGCAGGCTCCCAACCATGGAGTAGTCCTCATTATTATTATTATTATTATTATTATTGCTTTTTGGGTCCCACCCGGTGATGCTCAGGGCTGACTCCTGGCTCTGCACTCAGGATCACTCCTGGCGGTGCTTGGGGGACCGTATGGGATGCTGGGAATCGAACCCGGGTTGGCCGCGTGCAAGGCAAACGCCCTCCCCGCTGTGCTATCGCTCCAGCCCCTAGTCCTCATTTTTAAAACGTAAGGATCTAGCTAAACCTCTCCTCCGCTCTCTGTGTTTTGCAGCACAAACCCGTGATTGCTGGGGTGCTCTGGGGGCGCAGAGGCTGCAAAGCCAGTGGCTGGAAAGTTTCATCCGGCAGCTCATCCCCACTCACCAGCTGCCCTCACATTTCCGCTGGGCATTTCCTGTGCTTCCGGTCGCTTGCCTGGGGCCTCAGGACCCGCCGGGGTCACAAGCCCGGCTGGGTTCTGGGGGACGGGTCTGGAACAAGGACTCAGACACACACGTTGCAGCTGATCCTTGCCTCTCATTGGCCAGAACTGGTCACGTGACAGGAAGGCCCAGGGCACGATGGGAGAAAGGTTTGCCTCTGACCCTCAAGGCCTGGGGTGGGGAGGGGGTGCAGGGCTGGTTCCCCGATCAAGATCAGAAGGGTTGGGGGTAAGGTCACAGGCACAGTGGCCATCTGTTGCCAGGCACTCTGGCATGTGATCAAGGGTTGATCTCAGTTTGGCTCCCTGGGGTCTAGAAAACTCCCCACCCTGCAGGTCAGCTTGACCCTGAGGGTCCCGCCTCAGTCTTCAGTCCTGCCCACTGGGCTTCCACTATTGGGATGCAGGGGGGCAGCACCTCTGGGTGCCCCAAATCTTCCAAACAGACTTTCCTTGGGCTCACCCAGGAGTGTAGGAGGCACTTCCGGGATCAAATCCAACCCGCAAGATAGGGGGCCTCAGCTTCCTCGCCAGGAAAATGGGGAGATGATAACAGTTTTGCCTCCAGGGGTCCTCTCGAGGTTCCAGGGCTGTGTGGAACAGCCTCTGTGCAGACATTAGCTGCACCCTAAGTTCTCTGGGCGGGGATGGCTGCATTGGAAAGTAGACATCTCACTGTGCTCCTTTACTGAAGAGAAACTGGAATGCAGCAAGCTCTAAGGAAAGGTCAGAGTGGGTCAGAGGCCGGGCTCAGGCTTCCCTCCAGTCCCCTTCCCCCCCTCTCCCTCCCTCCCTCCCTCCCTCCCTCACCTCTTCCTTCCACCCACCCATTCACACCTCCGTCTACCCTCCCACCCACCTGTCTGTCACCCATCCAATATCCGCCTTCCACCCATCCATCTACAGTCTACCCCCACGTCCGCCCTGTGTCCCACCATCTACCCATTCACCGCCCAAACACACAGCTTCCAGCCAAACCCCCGTCCATTGCCACCCCACCATCCCCCACCCCATCAACAAAAACACAGTGCAAGTGCCTCCCTTCACCACACAGAGCTTTCAATGCAGGGAAACTGAGGCTTCCTGGATGTGACCTGTCCCCAACAGCTGCCAGCCCCATTAAAATGTTCCAGAAATCTGACCAAGAATCAGATATGTCAGGAGGCAATCAATCTTAGAGGGAAATATACATTTTCATATTGTATATTAGTTGTATATACAATTAATTGTATTAATTGTACATATAAAATATACATATATATATATGCAAGCTACTGAGAGTATCACACCCACATGGCAAAGCCTGGCAAGCTAACCATGACGTATTCGATATGCCAAACACAGTAACAAGTCTCACAATGGAGACATTACTGGTGCCTGCATGAGCAAATCGATGAAAAATGAGAGGACAGTGCTATACAGTGCTATATATATATAAACAAAAACTGTCCTCCCATTGTTCAACAATTTTGAGACTTCTTGTTACTGTGTTTGGCATATCGAATACGTCACAGGTAGCTTGCCAGGCTTTGTCGTGTGGGCGAGATACTCTCGGTAGCTTGCCGGGCTCCCCGAGAGGGACGGAGAAATCAAACCCGGCTCTGCTGGGCTGGCTTTGTGCAAGGCAAACGCCCTACCGCTGTGCTATTGCTCCAGCCCCAATAACAGTATGTTAGTGATCTCTTATAGAAGGGCTTAATGGCCCCTGGGTGAAACATAACAACCTCCACACTCTTTCCTCTAAGGATACTTTTTTATAGCATTTTCAGTGGTTTTTCATAGCAAACAATACAAAATATATTATTTCGGTTCTGCTTTGGGTCAGGGATTGGGGTTCAAAATGAAAACATTCAAAATATGGTGGTGGGAAGGTGTCATGGAGGTGGGATCGGTATTTGAATATTAAATGTAATAAAATATTGTGAACTACTTTATAAAATAAAAAAATTATTTAAAAAAATCAGACTTGAGAGATCAGTGGGAAAGGCAGCTTTTCTTTTTTCTTTTCTTCCTTTTTGCTTTTTGGGTCACCCCGGCGATGCTCAGGGGTTACTCCTGGCTCTGTGCTCAGGAATTACTCCTGGTGGTGCTCGGGGGACCCTATGGGATGCTGGGGATCGAACCCAGGTCGGCTGCATGCAAGGCAAGCACCCTACCCGCTGTGCTATCACTCTAGCCCGGCAGCTTTTCTTTATTCATAAGCAGGCTTCACCTACTGATACCAAAACGGGTCGCACCCTGATCCCAGTTCACAGAAACTTCTAGAGGTCCGAAGCAGGCTACATCCATCTGATAGGAACAATATTCTCATCTAAGACACACAGCGTAACGCTTGGGACAACCGGGGATGAATCCATTGTTTTCGGCTCGGCACAGACACTTCCTAATTGTTTGGGCGACAGTTCCGTTCCCACTGAGGCATCCAGCTGATCGGTTCTGATCCGAACTCTGCTTTATGACCG